GTCCACTATATTCCCGAATATGTGCAAGAAGTGGTGGCGGGGCCCCGGGTCCAGGCTGCTCTGCCGACCTCAAAGGTCTCGGCGTCTACGCAGACAAAGCGCGCCATAATGCAGTAAAACCATGAGGACGGAAGGAAGAGGGAAAATGAATAATTGTGAGAAACGAGGACAATGGGTAGATGGTCGTGAGAGAAGCAGAGTGAAAGATTACGTTACATTGTGGTAGTGGGGGGTGGGGAGGGAGGATGCTAGTGAGGCGCTGGTCTAAACCGTTTCATAGGGCTTCTCTTTTTCTCATCACAAATGCTAGTCATAGTCACTATGCTGTGTGATGAGTGCTTCACACGAAACTCCGAGTAACGGCGGAAAAGCTTTGTTGCTTCTGTGTGATGATTGTATTACTGGCTCTGTCTACTGGGCATAGAGCACTATACGCAGTCTGAGGACCTTACACAACTTTCTAACCTCTGCTAGGTGCAGCCGTCACCTACAGTGCCGGCAAGTGAAATCCGACCCCTGAGCGGTGCGCTCGCATCGCAAAGACCCAACACGCGATAGTAAAACTACGAAATAGAGACCGCTAGAATGTGACTGCACCGCTTAGAGGTCGGATTTCAGTTTCCAGCACTGTGCATTGTATGCCGCGAAGGTTCACCCAGAACGGTAGAAGGGGAAATAGGAACTGAGTAGGCGATGTCGGGCTTGCCCGACACCACCAGTAGATGGGACATACAAGGAAGAACGGAAATAACATTACCATATTCACAACACTCACATGTACAAGCTGCAGCTGGTAGCGGCCTGATGTGTGTTAGCCCCTGACATTGTGATGGTGATGAAACGGAACTGAAATCGTTCAACCAACTCGCGGTATAAAGTTGTCATGACTTGTGTCCAGCAGCTCACACGGCCATGTCTTGTCCATCACTCCAATGCGTGGCGTATTTTCCTGTCCTAATTGCGTTATATACCCAAGCAGGATAACGGTATAGACACCCTGTGGCTTTCCATACGTCCAAATTTGGTTATATTGTTTTATGCCCCCCCCCCCCACCCGGCCCGGGGAGAGTTTGTAGTTTTCTTACGGTTTATTCCTTATAATACTCGCTGGCATGCTGCTACCCTGTTCATCGTAGTCCCCCCCCTCCCCCCCCCCTTTCCTAATCTACACTCTCTTGTACCATCATCCTTCAATGTGACGGACCCCACGATAGGCGGTCAGACTTTTGGTCATGCTAACAAAGGTATTAATATTATTATTATTATTTAGATCCAGAGAATGACCTTCCACCGTCTGACCCTCCTCGCCAACCAATCAATAGCCCTTTGCGGATAAGGCCAGCAGAAAGCACGCAGTACGTTGTTATAATTATTATAATAACATATTCGTTATAATTATGGTATGTTACGTGCATGTTTTACTATGCCTGCGGAGAAGCGGTATACCTGATTAGATGAATTGTCCGCCAAAAGGTTTGTACGGTTCATTCCATCCAGTTCACAGATTTTGGAGCAGAACGCTCTTTTCTACAAAGATCCCTTCACTGCCAAACAGGAGCTGCAGCAGAAGAGGCTCGACGTCATGGCCAGTCAGACGCCCAATGGGTGAATGAGAAGGAGAGTAACAGCGAGGGAGAGAGAGAGAGTTAGAGAGAGAGAGAGAGAGAGTTAGAGAGATTTAGAGAGAGATTTAGAGATTTAGAGAGAGAGAGAGAGAGAGAGAGAGAGAGAGAGAGAGAGAGAGAGAGAGAGAGAGAGAGAGAGAGAGATTTAGAGAGAGAGAGAGAGAGAGTTAGAGAGAGAGGGAGAGAGAGAGAGAGAGAGAGAGAGAGAGAGAGAGAGAGAGAGAGAGAGACAGAGAGAGAGAGAGAGAGAGAGAGAGAGAGAGAGAGAGAAGAGAGAGAGAGAGAGAGAGAGAGAGAGCGACAGAGAGAGAGAGAGAGAGAGAGAGAGAGAGAGAGAGAGAGAGAGAGAGAGAGAGAGAGAGAGAGAGAGAGAGAGAGAGAGAGAGAGAGAGAGAGAGAGAGAGAGAGAGAGAGAGAGAAGAGAGAGAGAGAGTGAGGGAGAGATTTAGAGAGAGATTTAGAGAGAGAGAGAGAGAGAGAGAGAGAGAGTTATAGAGAGTTAGACAGAGAGTTAGACACAGAGAGAGAGTGAGAGAGAGAGAGAGAGTTATAGAGAGTTAGACAGAGAGTTAGACACAGCGAGAGAGTGAGAGTGAGAGAGAGAGAGAGAGAGAGAGAGAGAGAGAGAGAGAGAGAGAGAGAGAGAGAGAGAGAGAGAGAGAGAGAGAGAGAGAGAGAGAGAGAGAGAGAGAGAGAGAGAGAGAGAGAGAGAGAGAGAGAGAGAGAGAGAGAGAGAGAGAGAGAGAGAGAGAGAGAGCAAACGAGAGAGAGAGAGAGAGAGAGAGATAGAGCGACAGAGAGAGAGAGCGGGAGAGAGAGCGAGAAAGAGAGAGTGACAGACAGACAGAGATACAGAGAGTGATACAAACAGACAGAAAGAGACAGACAGTCAGACCGACAGACATGCAGACGGATAGACAGATAAACGGAGAGAACGAGGGAGACAGAGAGACAAAGGAAAGAGTGGGAGGGGAGAGCGAGAGTCAAAGAGAGACAGAAAAATATAGAGAGAAAGAGAGAGACGGAGATGCATGCGGGGGTTTCGAGCAGTATTCGCCAAGGCTTATCCAGCAAGGCAGAAACTCGTCATGATAAAATAGATGTAAATGAATCCAAAAGGCGCTCGAGGATCGGAGTAAATAGTGACCTGTCTCTACTGATACGCCAAATCTTAATGTCTAAAACAGCGCTGGCCTATAACAAAGGTCCCTATTTCGAATCCTAATGGAGACCATGATTGTTTCATTATTTCTATTCTTAAAATAGAAGTTGGTTGTTTCAACGAAAAGCTACTCCTTGTGTGCTCCGAATGGCAGTCGTGAGTCAGTCAAGTGACAAGTTCGGCAAGAAGCTTGTATTCATCCTCGTCGGAACAACCAACTTCATGACTAATACCACTGAAGTCGCAAATTCTAAGTTCAGAAGCTTCTATTCAGGAAAATGACCTATTTGATACGAGTTATGACTAACAGTCCACCAAGATAATATAGAGATAATTATACATGTACATTGATGTCGCACTATCTGACTCTATAGTATCTCGTTTTCTTGGTTTACTGTTAGCCATAACTAATTACTTGTATCATACATGTATAGGTCCCTTTCTCTTTACATTCTTACTATTGGCTCACCATCCGAGTCTATTATTCAGAAGTTTCTCCTTTTCAACCGCTCAACCAAAGACCAAAATGCACTCCAATGTCATTGTCAAGGCTTCGTAAACCTACTTCTAGAAGTGGTCGAAACGCCATTATGCGCAACCACTTACTTCGGCCATTCAGACCCGCCCAAATTCCAGCATCATGACAGTGCATTGCCCACTGGGCTATGCAGCACAATTATATAATTTTTTCCTCAGTATCATTGTGCCGTGATGCGCTGCAAATTTCAATAATTCGATTCATCTGGAGTTGCTGGACATTCGACACAACAGACGAGTACTCTTACTCATTTCCTGCCATTTCGAGAGCATCTCCTTAGACTCGCACTGCCGACATTACCACGCCCTGGTCTAGCTGCCCCTTACGTCAACCCTACTTGTGTGCGAGCAAAAAGTGCGTGACGAGATTACCCGATACTAGCATCTCTCTGGACTTACGGTTTCTATTGTGTGTTTTCCAAACTACAGTCCTGTACATGTATACCAAATGCCATCACTTTGTTTACAAAGGAACGCCAAGTCCTGAACGAGCATGACCTCAACACTGCATGGGTCCACGTCACGTGGGTCCAAGTCAAGAGTCCACTTGAGACAAGTCATATAGGGCAACCGGCGACTAATCAGCAACATAATTCAGTCAGGGTTTGAGCTACTTGTTGCATAGAAGCGTACACTACTAGTACCGGTAATAAAGTGGTAACATGTGGAAATGTTCGTATTGCTCTTGGAGATCACTGTAGCTGGCTAACAGACAGCGTGTCGATGCGTTAATCTAAAATTGAGTTCTAATATGCATGTTCCGTCCACATGATTGATGATATTGAGGTGCAGTGTACAATGTTGATCGGTTGACAGCATCTTACCGGGCGGAAGATGCACTGTGTTGAATGCAGCACTGCTGACTTCAGAATGCTATCAACCGATCTACCAAACAAGGCTTCCATAATTATACTGCATACATGTACATGTACATGTGCGCAGTTCATAGAGTGGCAACTGGTAGACCAACACAATCCTTTGTATGAACCATTTGCTGTCCTTTGTCAGGCGTTGAGCAGGGGGAAATGAGAATCCCTTATAAATGTACATGTACATGAATGACACTATTATCGTACACGCCTTGAGTGCTGACTGTTGAGTGTTTGCACTTCATCGTAGTATGGGAGTCCTGTATATGAGAGGGCAGTTGTCGCCTGGGGTTCTCAACCTCACACACCACGACGCTTCCTGGATTAGGACCCAGCCAGGCACTTATATGCCCAAATGTAGAGTGTTAGATTACGCCACCAGACCGCTGAGGATCTATACACCGAGCTCAGCATAGTCTGGTAGACCAGGTGGCGTGGCAACGGAGCGCAGCTGACATCTCTGCATGGCATACCCAGGTTTTTGTCGCTTTCAAGGAAGTGCAAGCCACTCCCACGCTGCCATACTGCAAAGGCTGCTTGGCCAAATCACTGCCAACTCACTATTAGTCAAACAGGTTACATAGTTCCAAATCCAAATCCTCAAATTCAATTTTAACAATAATGACCCCGCGCGCTGAGTGCTGCAGCACTGCAACCGCACTGTAGCTCCACACACAGCACGCTGGAGTAACGTGGTCACACGCAGTCCTAATGACAACCAGCGAAGAATATGACATAATGGTAGCAAATCATACGCGGACTAACGACACACATCCCTTACTCAGCATGTCTCTCAGCGGTATAAAACAAACGGAAGAGCAAAAAGCACCACAGAAGCCGATGAAAGCCACCACGATAGCAGCGGAACATTTTCTCTCTCTTTGTAAAGCAGATCAAGACTACTGAGTGAGGTGAGGTTATTTACTGTCGCCTTTAAAAATGTGTATACGTTTCGGGAGATGAACCAACCCTTCAAACTGAGTGTACATGTACATGTACATGTATGGGTCGTTGCCAGTAGATACAACTTGACTATTCTGGTGCGTTTCAACGCAGGCTTGGTTCCAGTCACTGACCATGTTCGAGTTTTGATTATTCACAGACCTAGTGTCACATGCTCTGCCTGCAGATGTCACTGGGAAGAAATTCCCGTTTGGATTTGCGAAGTAAAACCAAGCTTAATAATTATGTCGCTTTACCTTAAAGTTTAGGCTTTGGGAATTGGTCCTTCCATAGGACATTCCATGCACCGAATTTATAGCTTTGACCAGAGCTACCATTCTCCGAAGTACCTTGGAGTCCACTCAGAGGCTCCTATCAGATTTCTTTACTCTATTCTCCACATTTGAGTTACCAGCTCCCCAAAATTATTCCAACAGAATCATCGTTCCGACCTAACAGTTCGAACGATCTTATAATATTTTAAACAGATACCCTATCATCATACACAGTGATGATGTTAGCAGCGTCTCTTCCACCATATACACAGGTTTTTAGAAAGACTAATTTTGTACTTGCTTTTTTTTTAAAACTCTGCCGTACCATGCCCTCTGTGTGTTCAGAGTCCACAGAAGCCTATCTACAATGGCATCGTCACTCTCCCTATGCTTTCTCCTGGGTCTGACCGTCGTGATGATGTCCATTACATTGGAAGCAGGTGAGCTCATCTGTGCTCGAGTTCACGCGCGCACACACACGCACACACACACACACACACACACACACACACACAGTGACACACGCACACAAACACTGTACTTGATGACTGACACTGATGCATACTGGCTACTAGCGTGGGTGGCTAAATCAGAGTTGGCTTGATGAAAAGTTCCACTAGCTCGGTTGATTACACAACAGCACACACACACACACACACACACACACACACACACACACACACACACACATACACACAGACACACGCGCGCGCACAAACCAACAAATTATGCCTAGCCCTGTTCAGTGTTGATCAAAAATCTTCTAACCATGGAGTCATAATTGTAAGCCCGACTCCCTGCTTCTAACCACATAACCACACCTTCCCCTTTAGACTTTAGAACGAGATCTGTGTTGTCAGCTAGGAAACGACTAATCAGCTACTTAGCCCGCAAAGGCCTTACTAGAATTCTAAAGCCCGCTAAATCGTAGTTCTACTACTTTTTGACGATAGGCTAATGGTCATGCTAGACCTCACACGTATAGACCGATGCATACATGGCACTGTGACGCCCAGACCCATGGTCGGCAGAGTCCATGTATTTCATCAGCACAGCTATTAACTGGCATTGTGGATAGCACGTACCCAGTCCAATGTACTTTTTGTCTTTCAACATGATTTGTAGGTTTGTGTTCTCTTAAAAAATATATAATAAAACAACACTAGACGTTCTCTCTGCACCATGGTTGTGATAAGTGACATGCGAATCTCTTCAAACGCTAGGGAAATCCCTGCACTGTGCATGCATAAACCTACATTATTCCTCTCTATTCAGGAATTACCTACCTCTGCCGTTTACACACTCCCACCCTCCCTTCGTGTATTCGTTTTTTTCTGTTTCTATCCCTCCTTTTCTATCTGACGCCCTTCCTGGCTCCATTCCTCCCCAAGGAGCTCAATCTATGCGTCTCTTCGTCTCCATTATGACTGTATCTGTGTCTCTGTGTTTCTGTTTCTCTGTCTACTTGTCTTTCTGTCTCTATCTCTCTCTCGCTTCCTTAGCATTTCTGTATCTCATAAGCCCATCATTCCCTTTCCCTTGTTTGGTGCTGTGCTGCGATTACTGTGTGTTCTCTGCAGCTCCTTCAAAGCGCTCCGCAACATCTCTAGAGAAGAGAGCAATGTTGACCTTGTTCTCAGATCATCGCGTTGCCAGATCTCGCTCTGATTCCGACTCAGACTCCGAGTCAGAGTCCTCCGAGCCCAAATCTAAATCCAAGTCAAAGAAATCCAAATCCAAGTCGGAATCCGAGTCTTCTGAGTCTTCCGAATCTTCCGAGTCTTCCGAGTCCTCAGAATCGCCCGAGTCCCCTGAATCTCCTGAGTCTCCTGAATCGTCAGAGTCAGTGTCGTCGGAGTCAGTGTCATCGGAGTCAGTGTCGTCGGAGTCGGATTCAATCAGTGAAGAAAGCGAGGAGTGTAAGAGCTTATTGCCGCGCTATATATGGACTTTCTTCTGCATTTGGTTTGTTAACGCTTCGCAGGGCTCTGAAGTCACTTTCGCTCCACACCGTCTGACTTCAACGAATTTTTACTGCAGATCACAAGTAGGGGATCATTTGTTTTTGCAAAAGGGACCAATTCGTTTTCTTGATATTAGAGGGAAGCATAATATACGCTGCAGGGAATCAGAAGATTAAGAGTGTTCTTGAGTACTCATGATGGTGGCGGTGAGGTTAGAATTTGTCTTTCTGTCCGTTTCTCTTGCCATGATTAGATTCTTGTCTGGGACGAAGTTGTTAGCACAATAATGACTGCTGTGGTACAGGTATTAAACGACTAGACCTTTAGCTTCATCACGTCTCGAAGCTGTTCTGCCTTCTGAATCTCTTTTTTCGTTTTCTCCAGCTCCAGAGTCGGCATCAGCGTCCGCGTCCGCGTCCGGCGAGTCAGGGGAATCAGGAGATAAAGATGGAGAAACGCCAGACTTTGGACGCAAACGCCGCAGATAGTTCAAGTATTCCGCAGTACCTAAATTCGAGGAGAATCCTACGGTTCATGCAAATTTAGCAGCTACTAGCCAAAGCTCTATTATACTGAGATTGGCGGTCACAGCTACAAATAAAGCATAAGCCCTTAGTTTAATGGCCACTTTCAGTTGCTGCCTTTCTTTAGATCACATTTTATTCTTTAGTCATTGCATGTGTGTCGTTCTTGTATACGTAGTCCAACACGTAGTCCAATCCGTCATTTCCACATCAATCTTTCTAAAATGTTACCCATATAGTACAGTGTAGACTGATGATTTCTCATGTTGCAGTGTTACCTTAGAATGTCTGCGTCTCACGACATGGCACATGTATAAGCCTACAGTGTATTGCCCGCTTATCCAGACAAGCCTACAATGTATGTGCGCAGTTCGCGGACTGTTTTTCTCCTTCTTTTTGCTGTCTTGAATCATGATTTACCCTGGATGCTCGGATAATCTTTACACTCTCTTTTTTTCTTTTTTTTTTCCAGTGCCGATAAGACCTCTTTTACGGGCAAACAGGATACAATTGACAGTGGCATGGCGAATGATTAGAACACAAAACTCTTTTCTTATGTCAAGGTCCACGTCAATAGTGATCATGAACTCATGATGAAGGTCTTTTGGTTGGCAGAAAAATTCAATTCTTTTCGGACAGAAGACTCTTGATTCCTCTTTGCAGATCCTGAGTGATTTCGATATCCCGTATATGTTGTGTACATGCGCGTTCCGTATCACCATACTGAGTACATGCATACCCATCCCGTAGAGTCGTGTACTACAAGTAGTGTAGTGGGGGTTCCATTCGATCACACGCTGCTCTTGGTCCGGTTGCATAGCGTATACCGTACAACGTCCCGTACCAACATGGTACACACCGTGTGACCGAATGGTGGTGAGTGCTTGTGTGTCTGCATATGCGCCAGCATACATTTAATACATGACTTGTACAAAAGAGAAAGATCCTTTTTTACAGAGAAACATTACTTCATGCACTACTGTACTACATAACTAGAATTAGATAAATCTTATTTTAGTTCACACATGTTAATGGTTTGACAGCATGAAACAAGGTGGAGGACACCTTGTTCGGAAACACGGCTCTACCAACCGTGTGTATGGTTGTAGAAAGGTCACTGTTTCCGAGCACGGTGTCCTCCACCTTATTTCATGCTTTAAAACAAACAACAAGTATATAACTAGCCCTGTGCGAATCCCTCCCTAGCACTGAAAACGTACTGGGGTCTTATACGATAGATAACTGACCGCGGCAGTGCATCCTTCTGTTCAAATTATATGTACATGTACCCAATGCTATAGAAAGCAAGCTGTTTCGGCCATAAAGGCCTCATCAGTACAGCTATGAGCTAAATAGGCCGAGCTACCAACCATGGTACAACGTACATAAACATGTAGATAACTGAGCGGAGCCTTCTTACCTGTCAGTTCATCCACTGCACAGAGCGTCGTCCTGTGCAAGTAAAGAGTGTTGCGCGGCCAATCCGATATGGCGAGTTCCCACGAACTTGAACAACCGCCTAAGAGTAGGGCCTAGTCTAATGAAATGCGTGCACCTAGAGCACGCCGTTGCACTTCCTTGCAGAAACTTGACTTAAGCTAGACTAGAACCAGGGAGCCGTGTTCGATGGCTCCCTGACTAGGACATAGGAAATGACAGTAGTACTCCGTTTTCAGCGGAACAAACATCTCACGAGCAGCAGGCAGCAGTGTGTAAGTTAGTGGCGCACACCCAGCGCTGGGTAGAATCCTGATGTCCAGTTGCACTGCTGCCTTGCGCCTGTGAGTGTGACTTACGCGTCACAAGCTACATGTACATGTAGGTGTTTGTCACCCTGGAAACAGAGCGTTGTTCGGTAGTCATAGTGATCTCTTTTTTTAGTGACTCAACCAGTTTCATTTCCCATTGTACAACCACGAAAAAGGCAAAGCAAAGACAACTAACTAACTTGAAGAACAACCACCATAAAATAAATAATGAATTAACAGTTTCCGCATTATTTTCATTTCGCTCAGGGGACAGGAAATACTGCCTTCTCACCGGAGAGAGGATTATCCGATTCCTACCAAAACGAGAAATCTGCGATATGAATATGTATGAGAAAGATGTGAGAAAAATTAATAATGATGATGTCGAATTACGATAGTTTAGTTGTTATGCGACATTTCCCTGACGGTTACAGATAAAAGCGTTTCGGAAGGCAAATGTCGAGAAAGGATGCGAGAACAAAATACAGCGTTCCTGAAGGAAATGGTGCACATAAATAGAGCATAAGGCAATGGTGCAGAAAAGAGGTGAGAACTTACAAACAAGGCAGTCGTGCAGAAAAAGAGGGAACTGAAGAACTAGCTGTTCTAGAGGCTATCATGTACATGTACATGTGAATAGCATCTCAAGATTTCAGAGCTTATAGCAGTAAGGAACAAATTCTGTATACATGTACATGTACATGTAGGTACAAATTTTCGTTCACGAAATCTTCCGTTAGATCACTCCACCAGCAGGTTCGTTACGTACTACATTTCGTTTTTCGTCGAGGTCTGGCACCCCGAACGTTCAGGAAAAATAACTTTAGTTTGGTACAAACTTTAGTTATTTCATGCCCCCTGACGAATACAGCGAAAATTAATTCTAAAAGAAACTTTGTACTTGTACAGTACGCAGGCGCAGCACAAGCACCATTGAACATAATTATTACTATTCAATAGGCGCTGCCGCTACTGCAAATGTGGCGGACTGTTTATTCCAAACCACACTGGAGTGGCCGTATCCATAGCAAGAGCCGCCGCATCATGGTGATTACCATAGAGATCACCATAGTGATCACCATAGAGACCTTTGAGCTGCTGCCTGCTAGAGAACAATAGAGCAGTGCTTGAAAAAACCACTTCGACTGTAATCTATAGTCTCAGGTGTTCGATGCCCAGTAGTAGGCCCTACTTCAGCTCCACCGATGTGTGCAGGCGAGAATATAGACACATGTACATTGCCATCAGGTTCGGCCTCATTTCCTCTGTGCTGCGCTGACGAGTCCACAAAGGACTAAACAGTTCTGTCCGCAGATTGAGTAGACACATGTACATGTAGATAGATAGATAGATAGATAGATAGATAGATAGAATAGATATAGAGAGAGAGAGGAAGAAAGAGAAATAGATAATACTCTTCGTTAACAGACTGTTTTGTGACTAAAGTCAATGCCACACACACAGCGTCAATCACCCGCTCGCAGGTTACTCTGTCTCTTGCTCTTCCTCCGGCTGATAACCGCTATGGCTTGTACGCATTAGTGCTTTCCAGAGGAAATATGCAGTATTAGCAGTAGGGCTGAAACAATTATACCGATAACTCGCATATCGATTGTTAAGAGTCCGATCGATAATCGTTAGTGTTCAAAACGAGTACTAACGATTTTTTATGCATGCATATCAGTGACAGTATTCTAGCCCTTGCACTCCTACAGATAGTGGAATACGAGTGCAATCATGTACTTTCAAGACTTTCAGGGGCAGTAAAATTTACTTGTGGCTTTGAAAGAGATTGGGAGAGAAAAAATTGTCTTTTTGGTTTATTTGTGGGAGAAGTTGGAGATAAGAGCAGTTGCCAGAGGGTAATGACAAGATTCGTCGCTCTAGAAACACCATGAAATTCTCTACTTGAGTAGTTCATGCTGATAAAACCAGCCAGTTATCTACAGATGTCAACAGGTGCGGTGCCACAAATTTCTAGCGTAGCAAAGGCATCATAAAATTTCTTTATCAATTGGTGTTTGATTGAGCCAACAAGAATCGATAAAACCAATATATCGATCGTTAATGATACTGGTTGATCGTTAGGAGTTATTGAATGATCGTTGCAGCCCTAATTAACAGTATTAAACTTTGATAAGAATAATTCGATTATTATCAACACATATGGCCGATTGGTTTGCAGGCCTGCCTGCGAATCATGAGGTCCCGAGTTCAAGACCCGCGCTGGTAGCAGGAAGCGTGTAAAAAAGACTTTTTACGCGTGTTGAACTGCGCCGACACCCACGGTCAACTGGGTACTCACAGCTCGGAGTGAGAATAACAAGGATATGCCTCATTTCTTGTTGGATGAGAGCAACGAAGTAAACAAGAAATGCAGGGGAGCAGCTGTTGCTGCAACCCTGCAGTTCTATTGTTGTTGTTGTTGTTGTGGTGTGTACGAGAGAGTCGAAAAGAAGCAGTTTACAGGGTTATGGGCCGTTACACGCCCGATTGGTTGAGAGACTAACCTCCTCTCCCCTGACTCACTTGTGAGGTCTGATTTCGCCACTAAGGTTAACAGGCATAGTGGTGGCATGTGGATGCGAAGGCTAGTTCGTGTGTTTCTGAACATTAAAGCGATGCCGACGCAGATCCCGCGAATATTATTATTATTATTGTAACTCGGATGGTGAGCCAATTAAATTATTGTGAAACGAAGGAGGACAAAATGTTACGAGTTATGACTAACTGTCCACCAACGTAACCAGAATGATCTTATACAGTCATCGAGTGCTCTGTGCTCCAGTCCTCTTTATTCTCGTGAGCTGTGTACTTGTTTTGCAGTTTGTTTGGTTTATTTGAATTCGCACAGTAACCGTGTACTTCAGCTATTCTCTCCTCCCTCTTCTGAATTTGACTCTCCGCTGGCCTTCTCTCCTCCCATCCCCTTACATTGTATTGGGCCTCCGCAGCTCCCCCCCCCCCCCACGCACACACTACATTGTCACATAGCACAACTCAACCATTCGCTACCCTGTTATTGAGCACTCCTGCTCGTTTGGTCTCGCGAATCCAAATAAAATCAACCAACCAGTGCGACAAAATGGCACAAAACTGACAAGGAGTACTGAGACATTCGGTGACCTGACACCTAGCTCCAACACTTCTCCAAGGCGCGAACCAACAACCTTCCAACTTGGAAGGCTCAGGTTCGGAAAGGTCCAAGAGGGGAATTCGCCTTCGCTTAGCTTCCCCTTTCTACGTTTATTACATAAACTTGAGCCTCCCAAGTTGAGTGGTCTGTTGCTTTGCGTCGTCGAGTTGTAGTAAGGCCGGTATGTCCAATAGTCTTACTAGTTTCGTCATCATCCAGTAACTTTCGGCATTCTTTGTTGCCGTGATGCTTAGCTCGTGCTCTTCTTCGTTGCGCTTTCCTTCCCCTCTTGGACCTTTCCGAACCTGAGCCTTCCAAGTTGGAAGGTTGTTGGTTTGCGCCTTGGAGAAGTGTTGGAGCTAGGTGTCTGGTCGCCGAATGTCTCAGTACTCCTTGTCAGTTTTGTGCCATTTTGTCGCACTCGCTGACTGTATAAGATCATTCTGGTGACGTTGGTGGACAGTTAGTCATAACTCGTAACATTTTGTCCTTCTTCTTTTCACAATAATTATTATTATTATCAACATATTGCAATTTCAAATTTGGACTTCACGGAGAATTTCAGTTTTAGGAAATTAGAGGTCACATGCCACGTACTGCTCTTTTGCTGCTCCTTTGGTGGTGTGACTGATGATTTTTTCTTTCTTTCATATCGGTCTTGCAAGTGTTGGGTTTCGGAGAGAAAAGAGCAGTACGTGGCATGTGGCCTCTAATTTCCTAATTATCAACATAATTATAATTATGCAAGAGTACTATGATTTTATCAGAGTATTTATCTTTGTTTACAGTTGCTGAAGATTGATAAAGACATTGATTTTGGAGTCCCTAACATGTGCTGTTCCTTCATTTTAGGCTTCCGTAATAGTTTGTTTGTTTATTGCAACTTGTTCCTCAATACGTCCTGAACATTATTATTTCTCGGTCGGAAGGTAGTTGGGAGAAGGTGGCACAATGTTCACTTTACTGTACCTGTAGGAGATGAAGCGATACAGGAGGAAGAGTCGGAGCAGCTGACGAGGCAAATCGTGCAACTCCTACTCCGTCTGAGTTCGTATACGCATCGTATACTCATGGTCGTACTCCTACAGGAATCCCCACTACCATTCTACCGAGTCTGAAGGTATGATGCGAGCAGGACTGACTTGGAACTTGCAGCTGGAGGGAGCGAATGATCTAACACTTGGAGAGTTCCCGTGCCGTACTCCACTGTCACCTTGCGACTCGTCTTTTTTGGAGAGAGGCAGCATGTTCAAGAACAAGCACGTTCCGCGGAGAAGTCCTCCAAAGCCGGCACCGCCAATCAGGAAGGTTTTCCAGAGTGTGGCCGGCCCAATCCGCTACCTGGAATTGCCGAAGATGTGTCTGGGAGTGGGTTCCTTCGGAAAGGTCATCCAAGCGGTCACTGAAGGCACGAATCATCCCGTTGCCATCAAGACGTCGTTCAGCAAAATAGACGAAGGGACGCTGCACGAGTTTGATATCCTGAATGGCATTGGACGACACCCAAACATCATTCAGCTAGTAGATTTGGTAGTGGAGTTGACATCGCACTCGTCCGAAACCCATCTAGTTGTGAACAAATGCCATGGTGCTTTGTGGTCCTGGTTGGGGCGTTGCCGCCAGCCCGTTCCGGCCAACGTTCGCACGGAGATCACCAGACAAGTCTACTCTGGTCTAGCGTTTATCCACAGCAAGGGATGGGTACATAACGACCTGCATTCCGCCAATATCCTTGTTAGCGGCTACAACGGTCAAGTCAGCATCACCGACTTCGGCATGTCTCTTCGCTTCACAGGCGACGACGGTGTTAATATTGTGTCCCAACACAGAGACTTGAGATCCGTCACGTTGCAAGTGATCCTCGAAATGTGGCTGGGTAGAGGAACTAAATACGTCAAGATGGTTCGTGATTGCGCCGTGGTGATGCACAATCATGGCGTTAACAGTGAACTAATTGGTATGGCCCAGCACTGGCTAATTTACCGTGCCGGCGAGGTCTTTCGCAGCGATAATAATCGTAACATCGGGTGCGAGTACCGAACTGCACTGGGCGAATGTCCAGACCTACAGCGTGCCATTCTGCTCATACACTCGTACGCCTTGACGCATGACATCCTGAATCGTGGTATGGCCGTTCCGCAGGACCTGCACAGGCTGTTCCGCTATGGCATTTTGGCGGGACCAGATCACAAGCTCAGCGCTACGTATATCTCCACACAGCTAGACAATAGCTTGAGCGAGGGTTACCGCCAACAGGCGCAGAGTGATATCTGCAGCATGACAGTTGAAATGGAATCTACAACTGTCTAAACGTTCGGCAAACATCCAATGCAATCATATCTCTTTAAAGAGCACCGCAATAAATCATTTCTTAGAACAGAGATAATTCACCCGATTCGAGGTTGGTGTGTGTTGGATTTTCAGAACAAAGAACACAACAATACCTTTGCAAAAAATACCAGAAAATTGGGGTAGATGACCTCATACCCTCTCCGACGTGTTGGAGAGGGTATGAGGTCATCTACCCCAATGGTTTTACCTGATAATTGCCCTGGATAGGATTGGTTATATAAAGTAGATATCATGCTGGATATAGTGTCATATTGAGGATGTTGGTGAGGAGTGAAGATGGATTCTGAATTTAAGATCTTACCTGCTTATGTACGTGAAAGGAGACTTCATGAGAAGGATGAAGAAGAAGAAGAAAAAGAGCAATACGGGGAGGAAAAACAGTGTCAACATCTTGATCATGTTTTACATGAAGGAAGATACGTGTGTTCTTCGTGTGGACTTGTCATGGCGGTGATTTACTTCCCTGAAGATGATGTGCATAGGAGATGTAGTTTGATGAAGAAGCCTTACGCGGTACATGAGCGGTTAAGCGGTGTGAATCGTCATCTTTTGCATTTTCTTTCGAAAACTGAACTCTTATCCGATCAGCTTTGCGTACACCCTCTTCGGGAGCAGATACTTGCGATGAAAAAATCCTGTTTGTACAAGAGTATAAACTATGCTATAGCATTATCCTGCATAGTATACGATACGAATGTGGATGTACTACGTAAACTGCGTTCCTACTTACCTCGTAGCAATGTATCATGGTTGAGGTTCAGTCGAATCATGAAACCTCTTCCTCAGCATTTCCACTCCTATATGTACTGCATCTCATGGAGTCGACCAGGATGGTGTCTTCTTCTCAACTGTCCACGTTGCGTACGAATTTGCTGATTTTATCTCCATCTGATACATCTCTTTTGGCATCATTGATTGATGCCTATTGTTGGGAAACCTATTCACTTGATCACGTGATTCAGAACTTGCACACGTTTGACTCTGATCTTATTTCCATACTGTATCAGTTCACTAAAGTGGCGGTATCATGTAAGGAATCTTTAAGATGAGATATGATTTTGGTGGGCATGCCGCTGATTGGACAAAATGTTGTTGGCGGGTTTGATGCTGGTTGGTCAAATATTTTTGGTGGGCTCAATGCTGAGTGGTCAAATGTTTTTGGTGGGCTTGATGGTGATTGGTTGACCTAGCTGACACATATTTTATCACGTCAACCCGCCTCCGTCTCTGCCTTGTATAAATACGGGTGGTTGTCCTGTAGTCGAGTCATTCGTTCATCGAATACAGTGCTGATGAGTTGTTCTCCCTTCGCTTCCTGGAAGATGGATAACCTATACGAGCGGCGGGTGAGGAAGAATTCCGCTCTTCCTGCTGACCCTCCTCAAGTTGTGCTCTCTTCGAAGGCAGTACCGGCTAAGCGTCGCTATGTGTCACCTGCTCCTACCAAGCTCCACAAAGAGATTGTGGTAGATGGGTTTCAGGAGGACATGCAACTGTCCTACAAATCATCAGGTAGATCCTTCTACAAGCCTGGTTATAAGATGTACTTCCCTTCAGGAGCTCTACCAGCCTGTGGTAGTACGGCAACAGCTCGCAAAGATGCTCAAGGACAGGTTTACATCGAACTGAATGAGTCCACTGAGTTCATCATTACGAACTTGATCAAGACTTGTCCATCGCTCCGTGACACTCTCCGAAGAGGACGTGTGGAGAAGATCAAGACCAACTTCTACCCATCACGTTCGTCCTACGGTCAATGTCGGGTGTACATCAACGGTGAAAGCAAACTAGTCCCGACCAGCTGTTTCGAACTGGATGTGGAACAAGATGTTTTCATCTACCCCGGGGCAGTCTCCCTCGACATTGACGAGCAAGCGTTGAAGGTACGTCTTGCTGTTGCTCCAATCGTCTGCATCAACGTGGACCCCAGATGTTTTCATCGTTCTCTGGACGCACACATGACACTTTCTACCACGGAACTGAAACAGCTAACTGAGAGCTTCATATCATTATGCAGTGTCGCCGTCCGACATGACGATCAGCTGGTAGAGACCTTCCAATAAGTCTTTAATGAACTGCATTCTTTATCAGACAGTTGATCATTCATTCTTATCCTATCCTATTTGACTGTATACTACTTCCTACTGCAATATATCATTATAGTCAAAACTTCTAGAAAACAAGTATGGGTGGTGTTGTGTCGAGTAATACATCCACGGAAGAGTGCTGCCTTGCCTCTTCTGATTCTAGCATCCCCATTGATACTAGTAGGGTATGGGTTGCAGGATGTGAAAAGAATGGAATTGGAAAAGATGAGCCAGGGTGATTTCATGTGCGCACCATCAAGGAATGCGTCAATCATGACAAGGTTCCATCATGAATGTGAAGACTTCGAGACTCGTCATGCCTTTGACATGGACCATTTATTCGTTCCAGATTCACCGTTGTTTCAGGAGTCTGCTAAAAAAGTTGCTATCTGCTAAAAAAGTTGCAATGAAAAAAAAATAATAATAATAAAATAAACATGAAAAAAATCCAAGCGCGTTTTGTACGGTCATACCTCAAAAAGAAGAAGATTAAGTTCCAGTATGAAGCTACCAAGTCCGATTTGAACAAGGTGGCGGGGCTCGAGTCTCTCAAGTGCCGGTGGCAATTCATGTTATTATTATTTTATTTATTTTACTAGGGTGTTTCCCACAGACCATGTGTTTGGTTACGCTGCACAAGCAGCGCATTACATTATCCCTTCCACTAATTGTTATCGGCCAATCAGCATACTCTCACCACCTCACATCCAATGAGCATACCCCACGTCACACTAACTTTACACAAACTTGTCTCATATATGCGAAAAATGGTACTGGATCATAGCAACATCCTCCTGGATAATGAACAAAATAACGATTAAAACACAACAACCGACAACAACCGACAACAACCAACAACAACCAAAAACAACCAACAACAGCCAACAACAACCAACAACAACAACCGACAACAACCGACAACAACCGACAACAACATCCAACAACCAACAAAAACTGACAACAACCAACAATAACAAACAACAACAACCAACAACCGACAACAACAAACAACAACAACCAAAAACAACCAACAACAACCAACAACAGCCAACAACAACCAACAACAACCAACAACAACTGACAACAACCGACAACAACCGACAACAACATCCAACAACCAACTACAACTGACAACAACCAACTACAACCAACAACAACAACAAACAACAACAACCAACAACCGACAACAACAAACAACAACAACCAACAACAGCCAACAACAACCAACAACAACCAACAACAACGGACAACAACCGACAACAACCAACAACAACCGACAACAACAACCAACAACAACTAACAACAACACCCAACAACCGACAACAACCAACAACAACCAACAACAACACCCAACAACCAACAACAACCAACAACAACACCCAACAACCGACAACAACCGACAACAACAACCAACAACAACCAACAACACCTGACAACAACCGACAACAACCAACAACGCCCAACAACAACCAACAACAACCAACAATAACCAGCAACAACCGACAACAACCGACAACAACATCCAACAGCCAACAACAACCGACAACAATCAACAATAACAACCAACAACCGACAGCAACAACCAATAACAACATCAACAACGACGACGATAACGACGACAACAACCGACAACAACATCAACAACAACCAACAACAACCAACAACAACCAACAACAACCGGCAACAACCGACAGCAACAACCAATAACAACATCAACAACGACGACGATAACGACGACAACAACCGACTACAACATCAACAACGACGACGATAACGACGACAACCACAACAGTGTCCGGTAATGTGTGGTAGAGAATGGCAGTCAGCCAGACTGAGTACAGTTGAACATGTATAATAATAATAACACATTTCGCGTAGTTGAGCACTAAATAAAGAAATTCAGTGTTTTTTCCCACTTCTGTCTTGTGAGCATCATCAGCAAGGTGTAGTAGCTGCTGATACTGATTTGTCCTCGAGTGTCGAGCTGCACAGTTTCTTCCAGTCTGTCTTGTCCTCTGCATGTTGTCGGCACCTGGAAAGGTCTTCCATGGTCTTCATGGGCACCAGGGCCTGCTCTAGACATTCAACTCAGCCCGGTCAGAGTGTACCTGGCGCATGCAGGCCAGCCGGGTCAAGCCGGGTCAGATCATCCTGCAGAAAAACAACCAAAAAGCCTGCTCAAAACGCAGGAAAACAGAAAGGCGAATTTATTACCGGAAATCGGAAATTTTAGAGAACAAGGCGAACTATCAAAGTCCGCAAACGTGGTAAACGACATTATGTGAAGAATGCAAAGCAGTAACATAATAGAGCACTGGAGGGGGGGGGGGGGCTGCAGCACCTTGTGGAGTGGCTGCTTGCTGCGACTGAATCACCTGCATGGCCAAGCCGACTGGCATCTGCTGCACCATCTGCTGAAAGGCTTCAGCAGACTGGAGAACTGGTGGAGTTGCAACTGCTGCTGCTGCTTGCGCTGGTGCTAAGTGACTGGCGCTGCTGGCGCTGCTGCTGCAGCTGCTGCTGGCGCTGCTGCTGCAGCTGCTGCTGGCGCTGCTGTTGCTGGTGGCGCTGTTGCTGCTGCTGGTGCTGCTGCTGCCGCTGCTGCTCTGGGTGTGCGGGCCAGGTCCCTCCGTTCAGACGAGGTTGACGTTGCAGTCGTAGTGCGCCGAGTCACCTCAGAATGCCATGCAGCCATAGTCTTGTCGTAGTTGAAGCAGTGAGTTCTTACCTTTCAACCACGCATCGCAACCAAATCCACCGCCGCTCGTCTTCCTTTGGAAATGCGTCTTGCACAAAGCGCATGACATGGATAGACTGCCTTGGTCGTAGTCCAGCCAGGGTTGACCTTTCTTCCAAGAGTCTTGGGAAGCGTGAGTTTTTTTCTCTTCGCTGCGGGCTCCATCGTCCAAATCACCAGTCAGCTGAAAACTTGCATCTGTGTCAAAAGCTACGCTTTTGACTACCTGCCCCATCGACTTCCTGCGTGATGTCCTGACTTCCTGCTCGCCGCTGGCCAGATCGCGCTCGAACCAGTTGACCCTAGCCGAGTTTCTGTCGCTTGTAATGTAGACTGTAGTCTGTAGCAGGGAGTAGTAAAATACACTGGTCTGTAGTGTGTACGGTTGCGCGAGATTTGCAACAGATGGGGTCCGCGAGTCGTAAAATACGGGTATTTTAGGAATCCATTGTCAGTTTGAGACATTTTTCAGCCGGGTCAGACTGGACCCGGTGTTATCTGTTCAGCCAGGTCGTGCAGTTCCCCAGCCGGGCGCGTGACCCGGCTGACCCGGCTCTCCAGCAGGCCCTGGGCACACCCAGCTTATTCAACTGAGCGACCAGACTTGTGGCTAGTGTCAACCTTGGCCGCCCACGAGGTGCTTTGTTGTCCTTGTCCAAATAGCCGCTCATGGCTACTTAGGGTGGCGTGTCCGTGTCCATCTGTAGCACATGACTGGTCATTCGTAGTCGCCTACACGCAGCTGTGTCATGTATTACTACAAGAACTCAACCAAGTCCTCAGCAGTCATGGAGTAGCGGCAGGTTGGGCAAGTTGGGCTGGGGGCAGAACTGATCCACTCCTTCATACAGTGGAAGTGAAATTCATGACCGTACTCCAACTTGGATAGAGGACGGTCCAGGGTATCCTGACAAATAACGCAAATGGGCTCATGACTTATTGCTGACGAGTCTACCTTAGTTGGCACTACATTGATGTACTGCAGCTCCATGGGGTGTATTGCCTGGTCTTGATGGTGGCTACCGTAATACACCCCGTTGAGGTACCACTGATAGATACCCTCCTCCTCCTGAGAGATGAAAGCAGGTCCATCTTCCCTATGCCGAAGGTTGTATCGGTACCACTCCCGTACCCGATTGTTACCTTCCCTGCGTATCACCGCTGGCGCATTCTCCCTGTGGAGCATTCCGTGGTGATACCACCGTAGAATACAGCATGTGGCGTCACAATAACTGACTGCAGGACGGCCGGCTCTATGACGGACACCGTTGAGGTAGTACTCGATGCTACCCCGTCCTATCCAAGCCGGTTCATTAACGCGATGAAGGCGACCTCCATAGCACCAGGCGGACACTCCCCTACTATCAACAAGAGCTGGTCCGTCCTCCCGATGGAGTCTACCGTCGACGTGCCAAATTTCTTGCTGCGCGTTTTGATCTGCCAACTCCACAACAGTTCTTATTGGCGTCCGCCTTTCTATTAGTAAAGGACCCGTGGTGAGAGACCACGACCGGTCGTCCACGTCTACACCGAATGTATCAGCCATATCTATTTACTGAGAATAATGTAACAACTCCTCCACAAACGCTTCTACAACTGACGTCTTCTTCATCCCCAGATAGGCGTTAGCCTTTGGGTAATCCTGAAATAAAGATTATTATTATTATCCTGGTTTTTTTTCCTCTTGGTGGTTTTGGATAAGAGTTGAAAAGTCCAAAAGGTCAACTGATGACCTTTGCGTTACTTGGTATGATTGGATTTTAGCGGATGATGTCGGTATGCAGCTGGGGAGCGAATTCGACAGGAAGAAGATAAAGGTCTTGCATTGCGGTTCACACCTTCACTTCAGTATCATTACAGTCCAAATGACGTTCACGTGCCACTGCGGTGTCGAACTTACAGGGGTAATACCCCTGTTCCAGCACCTGAGGCGGTGCGTCAAGCGCCGCCTCTGTCTCATCATATAATTATTGTGACAAATGGTAAGTGTGCAGTGCTCCTAGCTCTCTCCCCCAACAAAAGAGCTCTATGACACTGTGCTTTCTGCGGTTTCTTTCGTTTTTACAGTGGAGAAAGGCTGGTGGGAGGCCCAGCCGTGGTCGCCCACCTCACGGGTACGGCCCATCTAACCCGTTACTGGGAGGGTCGGCAAGTCGGACTGCTGTTGCAGTCCGACTACCGGGACGCCGTAGAGCGTATTAGGACCCTGTAAGTAAGCACTGCTCTGTTTATATGTATACTTACCCCCTCGTTATAGCGATACTTACTTGTTTCGTATCCTCTTGTCTTACCCTGCTTTCGTATTCGTGACACCAATAGTGTTTGTGTGCGCTCATGCTTGGTTTCACAGATGATGATGTATGAAGGTCTGGGGCTGCCGTCTTCAGGATGTGCCATTTGTTTCAAAATTATTTGTAAGTACTTGTAACAGGCGTAGTGTAGTAACTGTGTGTGCAGTGTAGTAACAGTGTGTAGTGTTTTGTGATGGTACTGTGCTATAGCAGTCGTAATGTATTTTGTGATGGTCCTGAGCAGTCGTAATGTGTTGGGCTACTGAAGTACACTGCATGAAGGGGTATGTGTGGGTGCTTCGACATATTCTCGTGCTTCCTAAACCCTAGATACGTGTATAGCACTATAACCTAGATGTGTGTGTGCGTGTGTGTGTCCGCGCATGCGTGCGTGTGCGTGTATTGTGTTCTCTTCTACAGACTCATCCAAGTCAATTTAAATAAAAGTGTATTATAGTAAACAGTATTGTGTTTTGTTACAGTGAATATGTGGGGAATGGTGGACATGCCTTAGTGTGACTGGATACCCGCGGGTGGTGACTCTTTGCTGGTCACTCTGGATTCTCCAGTATAAATTCGGTGCAGGGCAGAGGGGATTTGTGGTGCCTAGCAACACTGCTTCACTGTGACCATGGTGACACCCCTTCAATAATTGTTTTGATGCATGATACTCCGGGCGTAGCCGGTTGATTCTAACTGAATTCCGATCAAAATAGAAATATGCATCTAATGTACCTACATGGATAGTAGGCATTTCCCTAATCGGCCGGGCGAAAAATTCGCCGAAAACAGTGGTTTTGAAGAAATTACCCATCTTTTCGCCGAATGTTCAAAAATTCGCATGTTGAATTCGCCGAAAACCGATGTTTCAGTGCTTCTACAGGGTGTATGTAAATGTACATGACGTAATGGGAACGGTGACTTCAAGTACTATGTTGAGCCGAATTCTGATCTTGGGGCTCATAATATGGCCGAATTTGAACATTCTCTTAACCGATCGAAAAGCCGATTAGGCATGCTCTGCATGGGCAACTTGTCAATCAGTGCACATCTACGATGTGCAAATAAAACGAATGCACGGAACGTGAACTTTGTTTGCTGCAAATCTACGAAGTGCGAATCAGGGAGTAGTATAATGACACGTGTACTAGTACACCTTGTGTTGCACTGCGTCTTTTCCACACGCATAGGACCACTGAAGGCCACACGCTCCGCGTGCGTATGCACGCATGCGCAATATGTCACTGCATGCAATGCACATCTACGATGTGCAAATCAGGGGATAGTACGTATTTTACTACTCCCCGGTGCGAATGCACCGAATTCGCCATCTATGGCGAAAATAACCTTAAAGGGGAAGTATACCCTAAAATCAAATTTTCACCAGTTGTAGTCTTCGGGGTGCTGAGTCGAATGGTCTTGGTCCGAGGAAGCTGAGACGCTCCCTTCCTACTTGAATCCCAATCGAACTCGCGCACTTCCACCGAAACTGGGTGACTGCGCCCTACTAGATGGGGATTTGTATGCAAAATGTCACTAAAAGCGCCATTTCGTTCTTATAAAAGCACGGATGACCGCGATTGGCCCATATGTTGTAGTCTTTTGGACGCTGAGTCGACTGGTTTTGGTCCGAAAAGGCTGCGATGCAGCGTTCCTCCTTTATTCCCAATCGAACATGGTTGAACAAGCGGTCACGTGCTCCTGCGTACGCCAGTCACCTGGTCACCGTGCCTGCAGGGTACAACTTACTAGCCTGTTTGACCTTTTTTGGGTGCAGTCCTGTCACTCGAGTTGAACTCGAGTTGAACCTTGGTGTGAAAGTTCTCGCCTGCTGGCGCGGTGACCAGGTGATTTGGGCACCCAGGAGCACGTGACCGCTTGTTCAACCATGTTCGATTGGGAATAAAGGAGGAACGCTGCATCGCAGCCTTTTCGGACCAAAACCAGTCGACTCAGCGTCCAAAAGACTACAACATATGGGCCAATCGCGGTCATCCGTGCTTTTATAAGAACGAAATGGCGCTTTTAGTGACATTTTGCATACAAATCCCCATCTAGTAGGGCGCAGTCACCCAGTTTCGGTGGAAGTGCGCGAGTTCGATTGGGATTCAAGTAGGAAGGGAGCGTCGCAGCTTCCTCGGACCAAGACCATTCGACTCAGCACCCAGAAGACTACAACTGGTGAAAATTTGATTTTAGGGTATACTTCCCCTTTAAGGATGACATTTATGGCATGCCAGGGGTCAAAGGTCAAACTCTGGGGGGGTCCCGGGAGCAGACCAAGCACGCCCGACACAGTGTGCCTTATTTGGCCCAAAGGTCAAAGGTCAAAAAGTGTGCCAGAACCTGCCCCGCACTTACTACTGAGGACGAGTATGATGAATAAGAAGACAGTTGAACATGATAATTTTCAAAGGTAACTCAAACTACTTTGGCAATGAAATAATATTTTTACTGAAGTACAAAAGAAATCAAGTAATGAATAGAAAAATTCGGATGGTGAGCTAGGTGTCAGGCCACCGAATGTCTGAGTACTCCTTTTCAGTGTTGTGCCATTTTGTCGCACTCGCTAACTGTGTAAGATCTGGTTACGTTGGTGGACAGTTGGTCATAACTCGTAACATTTTGTCCTCCTTTTTCACCATGAATAGAAGAAGTAATGTTTTCTCTTCTCCATGTTGATCTCTAACATGCATGGACATCTTGGTATGGGGATACTCAAGTTTGTTGTACTTATGGCCACTTGCAACTTGCAGGTACGGAAAAAGGCACAAATTTCCGAAATTTGAGGCTCCATAAGTACAACAAAGTGAATGATATATCCCCGGGTGCCAAAGCATAATAATATTCTGAGGATTTTACGAGCATAATGCGAGAATCCATGAAAGCATAATTCCATGATTTCGTGAGCATACTCCGCCGGAGCCTAATCATCATCAGGCAAGATTCAACTAAACCATGATCACTATCCATCGACTCATTCACGTTCAGTAAGAAATCGTGCTCCACGCCCATACTATAGTCCTGATCTATGAAATCGAGTCGCGTCACTCAAGTTTACGCCTTGCAACATTTCGCAGCCCAGTGTTCGCAGGTTTCGGGCTGCGCAACGCCCGGCGCGAACTTGAGTGACGCGACTGGATTTCATTGATAAGCACTGCAGTGCCAGTTTGTGCGTAAAGTGTGCGTGTACTGGAGGGCTGCGTGCCACCATCCTGCGTTGGATCACATGAAGCATGACTTCCGAAGACTGAAGAAAATGTTGAACGTTCGCTGCTTGGATGACAACTGCACCATATACAATGTAAGCTCATTGGCTAGAGCATCGCTGGCCTCAACGCAAGACAGGGTCCCTGGTTCAATATCCTGGGGGCTGATAGCCGAATTTTTCATCAGACTTTTCCCTTTTCAAGTTTTCAACGCCCTATTAATTTTTTTAAACTGCTGAATAGTTTTACGTCTGTATAGGTACATAAGAAAGTACATGTACTTACTTCGAAGTAGAATAATTTATAGTTTGCCAGATTACTAGCTGCAATGCACGGGGTAGTGAACCCAAGACAGAAGCAGACCAGGCATCTTTGCACATCTATCGTTATGCTGCTTCATTTAATACGCCACCTGTGTTACAGTCAGAAAGGGACCGGCGGATTCTGCTCGAAAAGGTGGCAGATTCTGCTCGAAAAGCAGTAAAATTGGCAGAACCATACAAACCTTATGGCGGGCAATTCCTCGAATTCTGCTCCATTTCCTTATCCACATACCAAACATGCATGAAACTGACCAGAAAAAGTACCGAATTCTGCCAATTTTTCTGCCGGCAGAATCCTCTGGACCCTACAGTCAGACCTCCCTTAACCGCACATATCCGTCTTCCACAAAAAATATCCGGATAGGCGAGGGAACCGGATAATCGAACACACATACTTCTGAAGTACATGTACATGTATACTGTCTGCATGTATGGCATATGCTGTAAATCGGTAACCAACGATTTTCTCCCGGATGGCGAGGGATCAGGATAAAAAAAGTACCGGATAAGAGAGGTCTGACTGTATCATTCTTATTATTGGATTACAAGGTAAACTAGTAGGAAGCACTTTGAACAATGACACTTCCGATTACAGGTACTACAATGTACATGTACATGTACATGTACATGTACATGTAGTTGTAGGGTTTTTTGCCGGATTTTCACCCTGTACGGTCAGCTGTCATACACTCTACATGTACATGTAAGAGCAGTACTCCAATAGTAACAACCCAGTGTCTGCTGCAGCCGGCTCAGCTGTAGCCCTTTCCCAAAGGTGCTCTTTTAATTCGCACTTACATTGTAGTGCTTTTCGCGTCCCTCAAAATATGCTGGAAAAGTGCTCTTTTTTCAGTGAAAACAGGCAAAAAGTGCTCTTTTTTCAGTGAAGCATAGCCGCTAGGGTTTATCGGGTGTTAGCGGCCGTCGTGAGTTCCCTTCGGGAACGGATACGATAATTTACTTTTTTTTTTATAGCCATGATACATGTTCAGATATGAACCTAAGCTGAGAAATGAATACGCACTCTTCCATTTATGGGTCCACGAAAGGCAATACAGAAAGTAAAGTTCAAAAAACCCATTTTTTGCAGCATTGTGTACACCTGGTACACCGGGTACAAGCTTCACCAACTTGTTGCCCCCCCCCCCCCCCCAAAAAAAAACGGCGTGCCAAGGCCCATCAAACACTCGGAAACTGTGATCGCGTGCATGAGCAAACAGATTTTAGCACTTTTTCAGCTAAAAAAGCTCAAAAAGTGCGATATTCACCAAAAAACGCAGTAAAGGGCGAAAGAAACGGGCTTTTCCAAAAAGGGCGAAAAAGGGCGAAAAAAGGGCGAGCACCTTTGGGAAAGGGCTACCTGCCAGGTCAATGTACATGTGTCCCAGGTTGCTTTTCTAGAGCAGACACTGAGTACATGTACAGTGTACAGTGTACGTATCTTAGAATATTGAGCGAGTACGAGGTCAGTATAGGAAATAACACCTAGTACGAAGTCAATATTAGATTGATCACGACTAGCCAAATCATGAATTCAACACTAAGGGAGTGATAATAGTACTTGAAAGTAGTTATATTATAACTTATGCACATGTACAGTCATGTTATGAAATGGACAGTTCGAACAGTAACAAACTTCCGTACCTTTCAGCATACAGTGTCACTCCACAGCTACACGGCCTTTCGCCTCTTCTGTGTGTGCTTTTGTGCACCTGAACACTGCGACTGCTAGTGCCAGTGGTGGTACGGACGGAAACGCTTGTGGCTCAATGTAGCTGAACCATCGGACCTTATTTGTCAGCTTGGATCACGTGATCCATCCAGCTGCCGCGTGCGGCAAACAGCCCAAATAGCGCTAACTCTGGCCTGCGAGCGTTTGCTGCGACTAGCGCGCTAGCGCTCGTGACATACACAAACGCGCTAGC